TTTGCCTAGGGTGATCGTTGGGCTGTAAAAGCTCCTGATTTATGCTCGTCTCAGCCCAAGCTACGGAACTGCTATTCCAGTTCAAAACCCATGTTAAAAAGTGAACTATTTCCTTTAAGAGAGATAAGGATAGAGGCCACGATGGCGTGACACGAGGGAAGGTTAAAGAGTCGCGCTGGCGCAACAGGGGCTAGTAAGGACAGAGTCCACGATGGCGTGAACAGAGGTGAGGAATAGAGACCGTGATGGCACGATCGGGCGAGGTATAGGGAGGAGGGTAATTCTGCGTTTGAAGTGTAAGTGAAGTGAAGTGTAACTGGAATGTATACTGTGCCGCTATCTTGATTCTCTCACTCCTCGCTCTCGGTGATCACTTCCTTTGTCACACCACTGCACTGATTTCACAGTCTGTATTGCAAAGAGCAAGATCCGGCAAACCAATTACACTGCTTGAAGGCTGCGACGAGCGGAACGAACAACCGCCCGGCTCGACGACTGAGGCAGAACAGAGAATAACTTGAGTATACTGTGCCGCTAACTTGAAGTCTTTTGCTCAATCGCTCCAGGTGACCACTTCTTTGGACACACCACTGCACTAATTCACAGTCTATATTGCGATGAGCAAAGAGCCGGCAGAAAACCACCACACTGCGTGGAAGCTGAGCCGAGAGGAGCGAACAACCGCACGGCGCGAAGACTGAGAGAGAACAGAGAGAGGGAGGTGTTTACAACAGGTTTAAATACGACTGGCAATGGGGTCACACACAGGGGAGATAGCGAGGGAGCAAAGCAAACGGTATTAGGCAAACTAACTGGACGCGACGAACCGGAGATAAAGAAAGAGATAGGGCGCGACGCAGCGCGCCAGCGGCCGCCGGGACGGACGCAGCGCGCTAAACAAACGTAACCGGGCCCGCCGCGCTGACCACGTTCCCCGTGAACAAAGCTATCGACGGGCGTCGCCGCGAGAGGGGTCAGGTCCGGCACACACAGGTGCGCGCAAAAACACCCCCACTGGGGCGGGGGGGGGGGGACGGCGCGGCGGCCCGCTCGGCTGACCCACCGGCCGCCCGCCACCCTGCTCGCGAGACGGGCGACAGGACAGTTTTGGCGGTCACACCCCGAGTGACGTCATGTGTGAGCTAGCCATGGCTGGTCCGCTACGAAGATGAAATAGGCAATAGCCCAATGAGCAGGCTGCACTGTCAATTGGCGGACGAAGATTTGCGGAAAAATGCGAGACGAAGAAATGCGGAGACGAAGAAATGTGCGGACGAAGAAATGCGAGACGAAAAAATACGGAGACGAAGAAATGCGAGACGAAGAAATGCGAGACGAAGACATGCGAGGCGAAGAAATGCGAGGCGAAGAAATGCGAGACGAAGAAATGCGAGACGAAGAAATGCGAGCAGGTCCAGTGGTTTGAGTCAATGCCCGGCCAATCAGCAAGCTGCATTGTCGTGTGACGTCATTTGTGTTCTAGCCATGCCGGTCCGCCACGAAGATGAAATAGCTCGACCTTGCAGGAAAACCGTTAGGAAAGCCGTTGACTTCAGTTGCCGGAAGTGTGCCCACGTGGGTGCGTGTGGCAGGGGCGGCGCCACGGGTTTTCGATAGGGGGGGACGGGGACCGAAAATCGAAAATCCCAAAAGGAGATACTGATTGTGTATGCAAAAAAAAAAAAACGAGGCACGTAACGCCGCGAAACTTGGCAAGGCCCAAAACACATCGAATGGTGCATCCCGTTTCCAAACTTATCCTAGGACAATTAAGATCGATCACCTTTTCAAGCATCCTTGCCTCTAAATCAAAATTTGCAGTCTTGCCAACTCAAAGCTGGTTTCCTACAAGCTGCGAATTGCTTAGGTATGAGTAGCAGTGCCAGCTATTCTTACGTTTCGTACTTTCAAATTTTCGATCTTACGTCTGGTCAGCTTCAGGGCTTCACCATCATATAGTCATGGTGGAGGAAAAGTGGGAATGTCTTCTGCTCTGACAAGTGCGCCAAAACTGCAATATAATTTCAGAATCATGACATCACCACTTGATCCATATGTAACGGGCAGGGTGCAGCTAATGGCTAGCCGTCAGTGGTCATGTCATCGGTGGTCACTCAAAAGGCCATGCTAGGTCATGGAAGGTCACCAGCCGTTATTTGATCACACTTTCTGATGGATTTTACTTGCCAAGAGCTTCGCGGGAAAAACGAGCGCATGCACCGTTGAAAAAATTGAGTGAAAGGGTCTCAGGTCCGGCGACCTCTGCAGGTGAAATGCCCCAGGGTAGGATTCCGGTGCTTGTTGATTAACTTCGTCAAAAATGGCAGTAGAGCTGTGATGTCGGCACCATTGTGTTCGTCATGCTCGAGCTGGCACGACCTGCATCGTTCTCATATTCACCCTCCAATCGTAACTACAGCAGGCGCTGTTACGATAGCTCGGCAAAATCCAGAGACCTTCATTACCTCCCTTTGGGAGGTAATGAAGGTCTCTGGAAACCTCATCCCACATCTCTTTAGCATTAGTGGCTCTCCTTATGGAACAGGTTTCTTGACTGGTCTGTTTCACCCCAGAATTCAAAGACTATAATAGTCAAGGTAAATCCGAGCGCACCACAGTGAGCACAATTTGATAAGCTGGTGTATCTCAATTTTCATGTAGAACCTTTCACGTATCACGAACCTAAAACCCTTTCGTGCACTCATGCAAAAGCAACTGCCATGTTTCAACAGCTGGTAATGGCATTTTCACAGCCGCTGACGTAAGAAGGGGAGGGATGGGGGGCTCGATTAGACCCGCCGACCGAACTTAGTTTTGCAGAAAAAAAAAACGAGTGCTATCGAACCCCTTGACGAGAGGGAGTCAATGCTATATCCAATTATAAGGTCTTGGGCTACTGCGTGCTTTTTTGGTCCTGCCTGTGATCTATCCGAACACTTCTCCCCACAAGTGCTGGGGTTAATGGCATAGATTTCAAATGGTTCCTGTGGTAGAACTGCCATGCTTGAATTTGACTAATTAGGAATGGAAAATTTTCATATGGTAACGGAAATCTATGGAATTTCAGTGAACTTGGTTTTATCGGCAATGGGGTCTGGCAATGGGGTGGGGAGGTTATAAGTAATAACCCTGCCTGGCGCCCCAAAAAGGGGGCACGATCCCCGAGGCCCTGCCGATCACCTTATAACTACAGGCATCACAGCTCCACACCTTTTGCAGATGGCCAGGACCCCCTGCGATGCATCCCAACAGCAATCTTTATTCAGAACCTGCCTTGATTAACCAACGATGCATTAAATGCGACGGATAGCTCTATAATGCATTATTATCAACTATTGAACGGCCCTCGCCGATAGGGGGGTACTGTACCCCCCTAACTTTCGATAGCGGGGGACCTGTCCCCCCCGTCCCCCCCGGTGGCGCCGCCCATGGCGTGTGGTGTGAGCGGGGAGAGGAACTTATTTGAATTAACGCGCTTTTAATGTCGCCAAACGTTGTTTAAAGTGTAGATTTACTTCAAGTAATAGCGCTTTAACGATAAACTTCAGATATTATTTGTAGTTTGCTCAACATGCGTATTTAAACAACGAGGCGCCCTGCACTCGGCGAAATTTTGAAGTAGGACAAGATATCAACGCACCATGGAGACGGAGGTAAGTTTTTATGTCATCAAGCTGCAGAATAACTCTACCTAAGTAAGTAGCTAAGTAATAATCACCGGTTGATGGAACATTGTTGAAATGTGAGTAATTCCTTACGGTGAATGGAGTCACGGACCCATGAGCTTTACGATAAGTTTTCATTAGATTTCGCCATACATTTCGTGCCCAAATGTTTTGGAATTTATTGTTGCATATAAAATAAAGAATGACATGCATGTATTGTTAATTTGCGTCACGTGGTTAACAACTGCAATTATGACTCTGTTGGAGAGTGTATTTTGATCCCATAAGATGTATGATTCCGAGAATCATTTGACAATATCTGGTATAAAGACTGATTGAAAAGAAGACGTCGTCGTCAATAAATAAAATTGTAGCTGCAAGGGTGAAGACACATGTAAGCTACATTTAAAGTCTCGTTGCAGTCTGGCTAATCGTTCCTATAAGCTTCAGAAGCAGAACATACCCATGGGTATGCCGTATGTTGGTTAGTTGTACCAAACTATTGGTCTCAAGATAAGGGCCCAGGCGACCTGTTTTTCTGATGCGATGAATATACCCTTTATACCCTCGCCGCAGCTCGGTTCGAGTGCATCCCTCACCCCTGCACACAACCCAATCCCCGCATTCGAATATTACCGGTATTTATTATATAGGAGACCAAAAGTACCGGTAATATTGATATTAGCTGATGTATGGCGCTAACAGGAACAGGCTCTGAGCCGGTATAGAAAAACCATCCCAAGAGTCATTTGACACCGTTGAGGTGACACCTACGAGGGGTGTTTTTTGAAGCGTACCAAAAACGCGCAGTTTCCAGGAGTCCGATTACACCCGGAATCAGACACCCCCGAGGTAATCTGACTCTGGTTGGAAGTGTATTTTATACCACATGTCGTCAAATGATTCCCGGAATCATACACCGTGTGGGATCAAAATACACCCTCAAAATCCGATTACTCCCTGAAGTGACACCTAAAAGGGGTGTTTTTTGAAGCGTACCAAAAACGCGCAGTTTCCAGGAGTCAGATTACACCCGGAATCAGACACTTCCTAGAGTATTATGACTCTGATTTGGGGTGTATTTTTATTCCATAAGGCGTATGATTCCGGGAATCATTTGACGCCGTACGGTATAAAAATACACCCTCAACCAGTGTCATAATACCCTAGAAAGTGTCTGATTCCGGGTGTAATCGGACTCCAGAAAACTGCGCGTTTTTGGTACGCTTCAAAAAACACCCCTTTTAGGTGTCATTATTTTTTTCAGTGTGCTATTGGCTGTATGTTTATCATCATTTATGATTCCTCTCACCGATAAATTTCCGTTTCTTTCAGGCCAAATGTACCAGTTATCTAACGCACACTCAAGATCAGTTCAAGCATCAATTAAATTAATATAAGTTCAAAGAGTTCAATCGAAGTAATCGTTTCATCCTAGACGAATATTTCAACAGTCTGATGTTCACCAAAGCTAAATTCGCCAGCGCGGCGAAGATATCGACAAGTCGATCTCATTGTGTCGTGGAAGTGCAAAGTGGCTTCTCCGGTGGTGTGGGAGTTGACCAAAATCCACTGCAGATGGGTCAGGATCCAGTCCCACTGTCCCGGTGCCGGCCGCCAGCGGGCCAATATCCACCGCAACATGGGTATTATAATCCGGGAGCGTATCCTCAACAGCAAGGAGAATATCCACAGCAAGGGCAATATCTGCAGCAAGGGCAATATCCGCAGCAAGGGCAATATCCTCAAGGACAATATCCGCAGCAAGGGCAATATCCACCACAAGGGCAATATCCTCAAGGACAATATCCGCAGAAGGGGCAATATCCACCTCAAGGGCAATACCCACAACAGGGCGCCTACCCACCCCAGGGCGCTCCCCCGCAAGAATCTGCTCCTCCAATGGACTTTTTGAAGCCGGAGACGGCTGCCAAACTGGAGGGCCGCGCTTCGCTGACTCCGGATGAGGAGCTGGCAGAGGAGGGCAGTGACCCCTCGCCGACGGCGCCGCCCATCGACTCCATGGACAAGCTGCCCGGCTACGAGGGACTCGACTTCACTGGAGGTGGGTGGGAGGGATTTGCGAGACTTGGAGGGAGAAGGCTGCGAGTGGGATGAAGGATTGAAGAGAAATACTGTGCGAGAAGGGAAGGATGAATTATAAAAATGTGGTAAAGGAGCGTGGGCCCTAAACCCAGTGCTACAATATTTTCACTTTCACAGAGTTCTGTTCACGTTGTAGTTTTACGTTGAAGTAGGTATCAAATGGGCGGGTATATGAGCGAACTTCTCCCATTTTGATCTTTCTCTCATCATACACAATGCAGAAAATGGCACGGAGACAGTAGAGGTAAACTACCGTTACCCATTCCAGGTGAAACTCACCCCCGCCCCCCCCCCCTCTGCACAGGGGGAGCGCCTCCGCCGCCTCCTGCCGCCCTGCCCCCTCCGCCGGAGAATTACGGCCAGGTGAACGTGCAGCACGAAGTACCCAGCACTGAGAGGATCAGAGAGATTGTGGCCGGCTACGTGGCCGAGCACTGCTGCTTCGGAAAGGGACCCATCGAGGACATGAAGATTGTCACCGTGACGCCCACACCCGCCTTGAAGGTGAGAATATGGGTTTGTTTGTTTTGTTGTTAGGCACTTTCGGTCTAATGAGCATAGAAGAGACCATTGCAGAGCCGGAAGTATGATGGGAATAAGGGGGAGCCATTGGTCTGGGCAGGCACCCTGGTGAGTCGCCGGGGCTGAGCCCGTCCAGAGGACAGGCCGACCAGCCCCAAGGCACTCACTGCACCCGGCTACGGGCGTGCTCCTATAGGAGCTTCCCGCATGGGATAAAGTTGCCCTTCCAGCCCGGAACAGGGGGTGGAGGCGTGGAGGAGAAGGATTCGATCATTCGACTATCCTGAGGATGGAAGCAATGGACCTCCGCTCCGTCGTTACCTGCTCCACCCCAGAAGCAGGCCCGTAGCCAGGTGCGACTGCGGTGACCGTCAGGGGGCTGGGTGGCCTGTCCACTGGATGGGCTCAGCCCCGACGGGTCACCAGGGTGCCCGCCCAGAACAATATCTCCCCCTAATTCCTATCATCCTTCCGACTCTGAAATGCTCTTGTTAGACGCAAAGAGCGTAACCCAACAAAAGAAAACGAACGAACAAACGTGCACTTGTCTGACCCCATGTGACCCACATGGCCTTTACGAAACCTTTCTGACCCCTGACCCCTCCCGTTCCGGCAGTACACGCTCGAGACCATGACGGAGACGCGCATCACGCGATGGAACTATACGTGCCGTGGCGTGGTGAGACCGTGCCGCCGCCCAGCGGTCCTCCGCCAGGACCCTGGGACGTGCTGATCACCCTGGAGCCCTCCCAGTGGTTCCAGGTGCGCTCCGGGGGTGTCAGGGGAAGGGTTTGGTTGGGTCAGGCGAGGAACATATCGTCGCTTTTAAAAGCTGCTTGTTTTTGGATATTCGTCATCCAAAAGGCTCAAACTTGATGCAGAGAAGCGTACAGACAAAATAATAAATTGGTGAGCCGGTAGGAAAAGTGGTAGAATATCTTGCTCTGCTCACTTAATTTATACAGGGAAGTTGAAGTAGCAGATAGGTTGTTCACCCTTCTGCTATCTCCCGCGCCCTCTGCGCGTTGTGACCGCCCTCTGGTGTGTGCCCCAGAACCTGAACTCTGTGGCGGAGGTGCCCAACACCCAGACGGTACGCGTCTGCCACAACTGCCGCGGTCTCCGGGAGACGCGCTGCACGGGCTGCCACGGACACGGATACGTAAGTTATGCCCTACCACGGACGTGGATGCGTAAGTTACGTCCTACGCGAATGCGTAAGTTACGCTCTGATACGGACAGGAAACATAAGTTACGCACTGACGCTGACGGGGGTACGCGACTCATCAATGGGTATCATGGGTATCATGCGTACTACGCATGATACCCATTGATAAGCACAGTGATTCATAAGCTAGGATCTGTCCTGTCGGATGCGATTCGTAAGTTACGCATTTATGGTTACGCATTTATGCTAAGCGGTGATATGAAGTTCGCCATTCAACTTAGGCACGAATTTAAGCCACTAACTTAAAAGCCTGGGCTAAACTACGCACGAAGTGTGAAAAAGTGGGTGAGATAAAGTGTTGTGAAGCAATATTTATGATTCTTTTGAATGTTACGCACTAGACTTCATCTTTCTCTCTCTCTCCTCTCTCTCTGTCTGTCTCTCTCTCTCTCTCTATCTCTCCCTCTCTCTCTCTCTCTCTCTCTCTCTCTCTCTCTCTCTCCCGTTTTTTTTTTTCGCAGACACGGTGCAATTGTTGCCATCCGCACGGCATATCGACGCCCTCAAGCCGATTGAACAACGATTGCTCCTTCTGTCATGGCCGAGGTTCCAGACGCTGTCTTACTTGCGATGCTGCAGGGATGATTCCTTGTCCCACATGTGAGGCCGTTGGCCACATCCGCTGCTTCGTGGAACTCACAGTCAAATGGTGAGAAGGATGAGTTAGATGAGTGAGATGAGCTGAGAGGTGTTTGATTTGTATGAAGTGGTGGTCCGATTTTGTGAATATCATGTTATGTATGTGTTTCTGCATTTATAGAGATCCACGCTGAAAACTAGCCCAAACCATCCATAGCTTTGCTCGTAAACAGTTATCGTTTCATGAAGGATTAATTCGCATGTAAGATAATATAGTACTGAAAAGGAAATTAATTAATTGTCCTGATTTTCGGTTCCGCGTGCTAGTCAGACTAAAATCGACTTTAATTGGCAAGCTACCTTGCCAAGCTCACATGTCTATGGAGCCCCATGCTGTGCTCAAACTCATTTTCTTGCCTCAGTCACTTGTGATAACCTGACTTCAAGCGCTAAAGAGCGTTGGGGAGGGACAGGAAAGAGCGTCCGTAAGGTAGAGAAGAGAGGAAGGGCACACGACTGACGACACCAAGAGACGCGAGACGTCGGAGCCACCATTGTTGCTGAGGCTTTTTAGGCTCGACCGATGCGGAGAGGACTTTCACCGCAGCTTCTTGCCAGAGTTCTTTGGGGTGGCAGATCTGGTAGCATTTGCACACCTCAGCGAGATAAATTTTGTGAACCAGGATGCTCATGTAAAACCCTGGAAGGAATTTTTTTTATTGTAAGATGCTTTCTTTACTGGACGGCATAATTATGCAATCTGCTTAAAATTGGGCCAGCTTTTCCCTGACCTTCTGTACTTTCCTGTTTTATTGCCTTAAAATATTTAAGGGAAATGCTGGTGACTCTTTTGCGTAATGGAAATTCGAGAATCGCCTTGCTTTAGGATGCTTATTTTTCATAAAAATAGTGTTTTAAATTTATCGAGTAATTTCGTATGCCAAGCAAGCATATTAAAATGGCAGACGAACCATTCGCAAGATCTACCAAACAAAAGGATGAGTAGATCCACTTTCATTTTGTATGTACTGGTGTACCGTACACGACATGGTATCGTTCCAACCACACCTATGCTCGTCTTATGACACAACCTCACATACTTACATAATGTCAGCTGACGCTGCCCGCTCTATAAAGAAGTCACACACTATGCTAATTCTCACTGAGTACATTGGATGTGCGAGTGGTGTCATCTTTTAAACACGACCACGGTCTCAGACGAGAAGTGAAAGCGGACGAAGCGTTCGCATTGCGACGGTTGCAAATTAGATGGTCGCATAAGAGTGTCGCGAAAGTGACAGAATTCAAGTCAGTGCCGTTGCATATGCAGTGACTTGTCACGTGCGTTGGTCTTCAGTCGAGTTGAAGCTGGGTTGAAATGACCAAGAAATGACAACGTTCTGCAACGAATGCTGTCTTTTCCAAATGACTACCTATTTGGGTTTCAATGATTTGCGGTTTCACATTATATAGATCGTCGTTAGGTATCATTGTTTTTAACCCGGCACCGCCTGGGCTATTTCCGTACCCACATCAGCCTGGGGGGGGGGGGTCGGATCCGACCCCCCCTGTTATCTCGAGAACCAATGGTCGTATCGAGCCCCGCGAGGCGGCGTTCGAAAGGTCTCTACGAGACTTTCCCAAAGCACTCTTAAGATTTTAAGATTGAGGTCAACTTTCGGGTCAAGGTCAGGTCAAAGGTCAAATTCAGGGGTTTTGCATGATTAGGCTTACGGACAGCGGAATCGATAGCTGCTGCTCGAAACTCACCACAAATGACCTCAAAGACCTAGTGAAGGTACCATGTGCGTATAGGGGTCATACTAAGTACGGGTCAAGGTCAGTAATGGTTATATGTGACCCCAAGTCACTGTGCTGGTGATAAGTGTGCATTGAAAGCATAAAAAATCGTTTATACCATACATAACTAAACGAGGGCTAAGAAAAAAAGTCAATTTTTCAACTTTTTATTTTTGACATAAAAATGCACTTTTCTAGACGAGCTTTGTCCCAGGAATCTAGTGGTGCCATTTGTTTTCACATGCGATGTTCAGAAGTGCCTCTAATTCGCGAAAATGCTTATGACGTCACCATGCCCTATGCATGTTGGTGCTATTTTTTACAATTTGGGGGTCAAAAATCAAGATAGAAAGTTGAAATTTGGGACATCTAATGTTCTAATAAAGCTCTATAACATATATTCCGGTTTTTTGGAAATTCTCAAAATTTTGGATTTTATTAGCTGTTTTCCAAAAAATATAGTTTTTTGAATTTTTAGGAGTGAAAAACGCATTTTATGGAAAATCCGAGATAGCCATTTTAAAGAACTCGTTGAGCTGCGTCTTTTCATGTCCTTAATTTGCAATTTGCTTAAAACCTCGATTTTTGGCGATTTTTTAAACATTTACCATTTTTTGACTAAAAACGCCATGTAGTTACATCACTAAAATCGATATATCTCAAAAAATTTTGAAAATGTTTTCTTAAAAATTGCACAGGAGACGTCAAATTGATGGGGGAGAAGGTATGCGAAGTTTCAAGTTGATAGCTCAAGCGGTTCATGAGTTATTTAAGAAAAACAGAGGGGGGTCGGATCCGACCCCCCAGGCGGTCGCGGGTTAAACTATATTACATGATCGCTCTCTGTTAAGGTTTCCAGCTGTCAAAACACGTGTACAACATGAAGTAGATGAGAGAATTACAACAATGTCTTCTTGTCTACTCTTACTGAATTATTTTTCACCCCCTTTCAATAACGCGTCTCCGCTCGGCTGAAAATAATTAGTTATTTTAACATTTCCGTCTTTGACTTAGACTCCTTTTCTTAAGCTCAGGTTTCAATGTATCTACATCTGAGATTTTGTTCCAGAAACCTTGGGATTCTTGCATTTTGTTGTTTTCTGTCAACCAGCTCTCATCCTGGTTCTTTTACTTTGAAATTATTTCTTTTACACGCAAGCATCTCCCTCTGAACCCGGTAATTTTCCCCTTTATTCATGTAGCCCCTGACCTCTCCTACCTTCTGTTTCGTCAGGCAAAACCACAAGGACATCAAGGTAGTGGAGCGCACCGACCTGCCCGATAACCTGATCCGCTCCGTCTCCGGTCAGGAAGTGTTCAGAGCCGAGGAGCAGCGCGTGCACCCGATCGTCGGCTTTCCGGACCGACTGGTCAGCGAGAGCTCCTGGGAGCTGGTGCACAAACACGGCCAGCAGTGGCCCCAGGAGCGGATATTCAGACAGGTGGGCTGTGCTACTACAGTGGACTTTTTGAAATGGGCTGCTCAGTAGAAAGAAAAGAAAAAAATGTTGCCATTGCCATTGGCAGCTGGATCAAAGGCGATGGTATTCAAAGAAACGAATGAATAAATAAAGCATCAAAACTCAAATAAATGAACAATAATCGAACAATCGAGTGAAAGTGAATGAATGAATGAATCAATGAATGAATGAATGAATGAATATCAATTGATAACAAGATGTTACCATAACAAGAGTTCAAAACTATTAAATATTTATGCATTGTCTATTGAAACGTACTTAACCGTCATCTTTTCCTTCATTTCAGCGTCACTCGGTGCAGTCTGTGCCGGTATTTTGCGTCACCTACCACTACGACGGCAAACAGAACGACTTCTTCATCTACGGAAACAGCCAGAAAATCCACTTCCCCGACTACCCCAAACAGTGCTGCTGTGTGATCATGTGAAGTGAGAGCTTGACGTATGAGATATTCGTGTGCTAGGCTGGACGAAATCGTGTTTTGATTGGTGTGTGTTTGAAGGACTAGGGGGAGTTCTACACAATCTATAGCCTTGAACTAGAGGCTCATGGAGGCCTGCGTGTCTTTGAAGAAGCGCGACAATGCGATGACCCAGAATTGATTTAGTGACCATTTGAAGAATGAACTTTATTGATGTCTTTATTGTCTTTTTGTCTTATATTTATTTATGTCAATGTCTTTATTGATGAATATTTTGTTAATTCGATATTGGCTAGGTATGAGCTTATGTATGCTAATTCAGAATCTGTGAAGTAAGGGTGACTGACATTTGCTCAAAGTCAAGGCACCTCGCAGTCTAGTTTTTATGTTGATGTCTGTCAGGTTAGACCTCTATAATAAGACTTGTGAAGTCACAAACAATTTTTTTTTTTGTTAGCAGATACATTTTGCTCAAATGCCTTCCATACAACGTATGAATCAATCGTGTTTCATCTGCATTTGGCGGTGAGATTTCACCGAAGATTTTCTGGTTATGTCAGTGATCTTTTCGGAACGTATCAAAATCGAAATGACAAAGATGAAAGCTGCTAGCAATGAAGGCTGGATATAATAAGTAAATAAAATAAAATGCATAAATAACAGGAATGACGGTGCCATAATAACAGGGTTGGTTAATTATTTCAATTGCCGTTGCTTTACACCTTATTAGTTGAAAGCTATTACCGATTTTAAAGTAAGCTGCTCTCGTTTCCTAACATAACTATATGTATTTTGTTAATACCTATATCACCTTCTGTCTTAAAAAGAACACATTCATCGCCCTTTTTGTCCAGCACATCTTTTAGTCGCCAGATTACATTGTGCAACATGATGCTAACTTTTATCAAGTGAACACTCATCCATCTATGCCCTATGGAGGTCACCGAACCTGTCTTGTATCTCATCGTGAAAGACCTACAGTGTGCACAGTTGCAATTGGCATTTGGCCCACACGGCCCACTAAACATTGCAGTATCCCGTTCATGAACAAGGTCTGCACTATGCTTGTCAGCGCTTGGATTCGTTGCGAAGTCACGGGTAACTGGTTTGCGTCAGGAGTTGATACGAATCACGGGTAGATTAGTGATGGATATTTGCGATTGATCGAGTAAACATGTATTCTTCTAGGTCATCAAAGACGTGTTTTGCATTATGAGAACCACATGGATCAAGGTGCTTGGAAACAAAAATTGTTCTGATGAGGATCTTGTGGCGAACTAGTGGTTTTGCAATAATATGAACATGAGACATCGCTTTGTTTATCAGTCGAGTTGAGGAAATATGCATATGATAGAACTGCATTTACCTACCTGGCGATTGCACATACCTATTTAGTCATATCAGCTGACAGGCACGTTTCTGATTGCTTGTAATAGTAAAACAATATCTTTTGATATCATCTGATGACACACAGATATACAGGGTGTCCGGAAATTATTCACCCCTTGTTCATTCAGCTAAATCCCACCATGCGCTTTAATAAATGTTGAAAATTTGCTAAGACCGTGCCTCACGCTATCCACAGCTGTCGGTTATCCAGATGACCTAACCCAGTCACATGACCTTGACACTTGCGAGGCGCCAGGGGCCAGTGTTTGGCAGGCGTAACTCGCACCTGAACGTGGTGTCTACTATGACCGAAGAAACTCTTTGACAAACTACAAAGCGTCATCGCGCTGAAGTTATGGTGAAGACTGAAATGAAGTAGGAAGTCTATCGAATCCTCTGTCCTAATGCCAATCGAAAACCTATGGGGAATCATGAAGGAGGAGTTCAACAAGATTGAACCAGCTCCCACAGAAAACGGACTATAGAGGAACCTGTGAAAGGTGTGGCTGAAAATCAGCGCGGATACACTGGACATCTTGATCTATGAAATGCCCAAGCGGATGAGGAAATGGGTGGGACACGGCAGGGGATAAATCGGTAAATAAACCATGACCCGGGGGCTCTTTGTTTATTAATTATGGCGGCGAGTTGATGGAGGGGCAAATAATTTCCGGACACCCTGTATCTTGCTCGATTGAAATTCAATCCATCACTTCGCAGGCAGCCAACACTGACAATGGAACGCTCTTTTTACTTCTGTACCTTTTCAAAAGGTATTATTTTTCAAATAAAATAATAAATGGATTATTTTTCCATGTAACGTTTTTACTGCCAGGTGCTTAGCGTCACTATGAGATTGTTGCAATTAATAATGTAAATTAGGAGGACAATGCAGCCGAATATAGTTCATAGGCAAACCTCTCTTTTCTTCTCTCTCTCTCTCTCTCTCTCTCTCTCTCTCTCTCTCTCTCTCTCTCTCTCTCTCTCTCTCTCTCTCTCTCTCTCTCTCTCCCTCTCTCTCTCTCTCTCTTCTCTCTCTCTCTCTCTCTCTCTCTCTCTCTCTCTCTCTCTCTCTCTCTCTCTCTCGCTCTGTCTCTCTCTCTCCTTCACGCACGCACCACCCCTTCTGAGCGGTTTCTCCCGCACCGGATATCGGCCCCTCTCTCCCTCTCTGCCCTCCTCTCTCCCCCTCTACCCTCCCCGTCCCCTTCTCTGCCAAAATGGGTCACTGCTGTGTGCCAGCTGTCCGAGGCCACTTTGCATAGCGACTAGAGCATCAGTGCCATCCGCTCTGTGCTTCACCCCTCTACTAACTCGTCCGCCACTGTAACAGCCCTAGGTTTACGATGACATTCACTCCTTGCAGTGTGCAGGACCACCCCATCGTGCGAACTACCCCCGCCGCTGCGCGCACGCCGTTAGAAACGGTCCTTATTGCGTAAGAAGTCTCGCACAAAGACGCTCCGCGCTCGGGGTGGCTGGCAGGTGAAAATGCCGACACCCTTCGTGGGGAGGGGGAGGGTGTCTGATGGGTGGGGAGGTCCTCTGCAGAGGGGCCAGGTAGTACTTCCTGATCGTATCAGAAGCACCGCCACCGCCGCCGCCGCCGCTGCCGCCTCGACTCCGGGGTGGGTAGTGGTCTCTTGGCGAGGAGACTGGTGGATACCCTAACCCATCCAAGGCAGTAAGAAGTCAGAAGAGACATTAGAAGAGATGCGATCTGAGATGCTCGCTAGGTTTTGTGGCGTATGTTTTCATTCAACAGGATGAAGACTTATGAATGAATGACATCGGTTTTGTCGAGGTGCCTCTCTGCCGCCGCGGCCTTACCTGTGGCGATGGTTGACTGGGTCGTCTTGCGTATCGTTGACTTGGAGTCGGAGATGGGATTAGTGGTTGTGTGTAGGTTGGTTCAGCAGTGGGATTAGCTCTAGCGAATCCGAGTCGATGACCTGCTGGCTGCTGGTACCGTATCGGTGACCTACTGAACAAATCCAGCTCGAACTCGGAGAGGATGAGGTGTAGTAGCTGAGCTGGGTTATAAGTTGTGATATTCCCTGTTCCATCACTCTAAAAGTATGCCTTTTTAACACTCTAGTTTGAGTATCTAGCTCCTTTGGTCGTGGTGTTTGTGCTGGGACATGTTTGATGTCGAATGCCAGTTGAAGATGCCAGTTGCCAACGTCATACCCAAGTTGGTGATACCATATTACCAGTCGAGCGTCAGAGTATCAAACCCCTGAAGCATCTGAAGCTCGGGCTATGGCATTGAATAGCTGTAAAACTGCAAGTCATGGCAGGAAATGCCGCACAGTAATTCGTACTTAGCTAGCCGGTTAGCACAGGGAAAGGCAAAGTTATCGGAAAGGCATAGCCCAAAACCGATTGAAATAAATCCTCTTTTCTATTCATCAATAATTTAACACCCGAGTTTCTAACCTCATTCAACTAAAGCGTCATCAATGTTTTCAACATTCATGCTCCTCATGCTAACATTTAACCCTGTCTTACCAGTACACTCCAAACGTTACACTCTCACTAAACTCAACTCACTCAGATCCACCACTACAGCTCCCACTGAGTTGAGTTGAGCCAGCTGAGTTGACCGGCCGGCTGCCGCCGCGGCGGCTCGTCCCACAAAAACGACCTCAGAGGAGGTGACGTCTTCTGGCCGACAGGGACGAACTTTCGCCACGACAGAGGGACAGGCAGGCCGCCGAGGGGACCCACTGTGCGCCGGGCGGCTGGGTGGCAGAGGGGTGCAGGAATACGGGGCTGGGTGAGGAAATAGCCCTGCAAGAGATGGGTTACGTAAGGGATGGGGCTAATATCGGGGATGTAATCAGTTAGGTGTTTCAGGGTAGTGTGGTGAAATGCCAAGAAATGGTCACATCGTAATTGTAGAATTACGATTGTAAATTGTAATTCTACAATTAGAATCGTAATTGTAGAAACACGACGCTTCCAAAAATCAATAATGTAAGGATAACGCCATAGGCGAGGTTATAATAATGAAGTAAAAAACTTGATTTAACATACGATGCAATAAAAAACTTAGTTCATGATAACCAATTCAATTATTGAATAACATATATTTCCCCCATATTTCTCCAAAGTTTTCCTTAAAGTTTCCCCAAACCCAGGCTATCCATAGCCCTTCAAACTAGACCATCACTACTTCCGTGCGCGCTGGACCGCACAGAGGCCCTGGATTCACTGCACCGTTGACCGCTACGGGCGCAGCGACCCACAACTCGCCCGGCCCGACTGTGACACACAATCCAGGGTCTGGCATGTGCCTGTCCAGCCGGTGACATTTGCATCGGTGCCGAATTTACATTCGCGACACGACGTGGCCTGGTCGGTGGCGGATTATCCGCACACGCCGGAGAGGGAGCAAAGAACTGCGGGTGACGCTTCTTGTGACGATGCTGTGGTTTCGAGAGAACCGTTATAAGGGGTGGGGGTTCAGGTGGTTTAGTTGTTTCGTTTGAGCTAGTGTGTGTGTCTCTTGCTTTCTCGTCGTTGGGAAGAGGCCTCGGCATGAAACGTTTGCCTGTCATGTAGTCACGTCTTTCGTTGCGCAGAATATATCTTCAACCAGTGCTTGTCAAACATATGTACAGTCGGTATCATGTGGCCAAATATATGAGCTGTTGATAGGTGGTATGTGGTTGTATATGCCCAACGATAACCACCAAACTAGACACGCCATATTTTGTCTTCCTTATGTTTCATCTCAAGAGAGAAATGAATGTGTGGATGGGATGGCTTCCCTAATGTTTGTCCATATGCTATGGTGTGCTCGATAGGATAGCCTTCCACGCTTCTTTACATCGATATCAGCTGCCACAATAAACATTTTTAGAGTGCAGGCATGACATAAGAGGCATATCTGACCCCACAAGGGGTAGTAACCTTTAGATAACTTCTTAGTTCTATAAGAGTGGAGGAAGGAGCTAGTGTGTCTTTGAAGGAAAGAAAACAAAAAGTCACCTTAAAATATCCATTTAATTTTCTC